GATTCGTCACTCCAGACGTCTCCACTGCTCTGGAGTCCAGTGGCGGCGCTTTACACCACTGCATTCGACGCTTTGCATTGCGCTTGGTGATGTAAGGCTTGGATGCAGCTGCTCGGCCATGGAAACCCATTCCATGAGGCTCTCTACGCTGTTCTTGAGCTAATCTGAAGGCCACATGAAGTTTGGAGGTCTGTAGCGATTGACTCTGCAGAAAGTTGGCGACATCTGCGCACTATGCGCCTCAGCATCTGCTGACCCCGCTCTGTCATTTTACGTGGCCTACCACTTCGTGGCTGAGTTGCTGTCGTTCCCAATCACTTCCACTTTGTTATAATACCACTGACAGTTGACTGTGGAACATTTAGTAGCGAGGAAATTTCACGACTGGAGTTGTTGCACAGGTGGCATCCTATCACAGTACCACGCTGGAATTCACTGAGCTCCTGAGAGCGACCCATTCTTCCACAAGTGTTTGTAGAAGCAGTCTGCATGCCTAGGTGCTTGGTTTTATACACCTGTGGCCATGGAAGTGATTGGAACACCTGAATTCAATGATTTGGACGGGTGAGTGAATACTTTTGGCAATATAATGTATTACTGGAAGTCCAAAAGTGTTCAGACAAAAACAGCTAATTTTTCAGCTTGTGAGGACTGTAGTGGATATGTGTGTCATGTTGCACATGTAAACAGGAAGATAGATAGATTCACTGGGAAACAACAACAGAGTGGAATACAGGATGAGTTTTGAGTGCTTTTTCATTAAGCTGTTAACAGATTGGGTTAGACGGATATGAGTAGGTGCAGAACTCTTCGGAGCACAAAAACAAAAGGCTATTTTATCACTTTTCTTGTTCTATTCTTGGAACGTCCAGCCAGCATTTGATGACCTTATAAACAGAGCTGGGCAAAATACTTATATAATTTGCTTATAATTTGAATGAAGTTCTGAAAATTTACCACTGTTTTTTTGTCTCTCTCTGCTGGCTTCAGTCCACCGCCGCTCCCACAGTCTCCCAAGTCAAGTGCAATACTGAAGCTTATCATTTCCAAATGTCCACTATTGAGGAGATTGTTAGGTTGATGACCCCCAAAAGAGCTCAGTAACATTGAGATTAATAACTGATCACCACATTGATTTATCAGTCTACTCAGGCTTTAGCAGAGCTCAGTAACACTGAGATTAATAACTGATCATCACATTGATTTATCAGTCTACTCAGGCTTTAGCAGAGCTCAGTAACACTGAGATTAATAACCGATCATCACATTGATTTATCAGTCTACTCAGGCTTTAGCAGAGCTCAGCAACACTGAGATTAATAACTGATCATCACATTGATTTATCAGTCTACTCAGGCTTTAGCAGAGCTCAGTAACACTGAGATTAATAACTGATCATCACATTGATTTATCAGTCTACTCAGGCTTTAGCAGAGCTCAGTAACACTGAGATTAATAACTGATCATCACATTGATTTATCAGTCTACTCAGGCTTTAGCAGAGCTCAGTAACACTGAGATTAATAACTGATCATCACATTGATTTATCAGTCTACTCAGGCTTTAGCAGAGCTCAGTAACACTGAGATTTACTAACTGATCATCACATTGATTTATCAGTCTACTCAGTGAAAGTAGCTCAGTGAAAACTGAAAGAGCTGACTCACTTATATTAAAAAAAATGAAATGTTAGCAGGATGATTTCTCGATTAGGATACCATTTAGCCCAACTCTTAGAAACAAAACTTTATTTTTTAGCATTCTTTACATTGAATCTTACAAAACATTCAAAAACATGTTAATTATCTCAGGAACAAAGTCTAATTTTTTTACAAGGCTGGCAATGGCTCAAATGAGTAACAGGGTCCCGTTTTTAGCATACAAAATGTAGTTATATCACATTCATGCTAATGGCATAAGGAAATTAAGCACATTCTAAAAATATGTTTAAAATGTATTTTTTCTTTATAAAAAAATTACTTTTAATCTATAGTTTGGGCACTTCTGTCAATATTACACTGAATCACTGAAAATAAAGAAAAGGGAATTTGGCTTTCTTGATGATCTTCAGAAATGTCAGATGACACAACTTCTGTTGAACTTGGCTTGTGGAATGTTCTAGATATTTCAGAGGAGTGAATGTGCTCAGCTAACAGGGTTCAGTGAATGTCATGGGACAAACGTTTCATAAAGGTTTTTCATAAATTATAAAAAAGGATGTTCCAGTTACATATTAATACAAAATAACATGAGTTTTGAAGCATTTTAATGATTGTCTTTCAATGTCAAGTGAAGTTATAGTGGGCTGAGACAGCGGTCTTAGTGCTATGGAAGGTTTTATTTATGTTTTCAGGTGTTTTTCTGAAACATGTACATAGGATTTTGTCTTCTGTGTTGTCTTTTACCTTTATGTGTTGTCTTTTACCTAATATGTTTGTAATACCAGTGGGAAACAAATGACACCCCAGTCATGGATTCACCAGGGCTGAGTTATGTCAAACTGACGAGGGGCAGATCAGACATGCCCCTCATAACTGCACAGCCATTTAGCACAACTATTTTTCTAATGAACGCAGCTCAGATGGATGTCCCAAACAAGTGTTCAGTATTCAACAACTGCTATAAAATCAGACTGTAAATGGTTGACCAACATCCCTGTTAAGAAATAAAAACATAGAAACTAGTAAGTGTTTCTGTTGGTTCTCGGTGGTTTTTCATGATGGGTTGATATCACAATGTAAAGGATCCCAATGGTTTAACAGATCACCTGTAACTGATTCCAAACACATTTGATAATTTTTTTCTAATTGGATCTAAAGGTGTTTTACAGGATACTAGTGGTCTCTAAGCCCACTGCCTCCACTGGAAATAGTCAGCAGAGCAGCATCGAAGACCTTTACTCATCTAGGATGAGGAAGAGGGCAGGAAAATCCTGGCTGACCCCTCATACACAGGCCACTCTCTCTTCCAGAGGTTTCAATCTCAGCAGAGACCAAGAACTAGAGCCCTAAAGACTCAGACCAACCGCTATAGCTACTTTCCCCTGGCCATCATCCTCATAAACAAGAATCCTTCTCAGTATTACACACTCTGTAATGTACATAACCACCATATATACCATATATACCATACCATAATCCTTCTGAATCAGAGCCTCTCCCACTTTACTGTAGTCAGTGCACATATGTACTGTAACTTATTGCTATATATATATATATATATATATATATATATATATATATATATATATATATATATATATACATTTATATAAGCTGCTCAACTGTTTTGACACCAACACAAATTCCTTTTCCAACAAGATAAATTCCTTGTACATCTAGTACTTGGCGAGCAAAAGATTCTGACTCTGATTAGGAAGCAAAGCCATTATTAATCCTAAAGGTTCTAATAGTCTTTTTCTCAGCAGGGATGTTGTACAGATCAAACCACAAGTTACAAGTTAGATCTTATTGGAGTAAAACTAGCATAGTATGACCTTGCTGGGTTACCAGCTAAACCAGCACTAGGCCAGCATAAACCAGCTTAGACCAGCTTAGAACTCATGTTGTTATTCGCAGAGAAGTGCTGGAGCCTTAAAGCTATCTGGACGCAGGGCCTCTGGCGAGCTTCCCTCTGGACGTGTTTGTGAATGATTTCGAAATGATTGTTTTTATGGGACACTGTGTTTTTGAGGAGGGGCTGCAAGGTGGGCTCTGCATTCCCTCAGCATGATGGGATTACTCAACAGAGTGCATAAAACACCCTTGGCATTGTTTCAAAAGACCCTCTTAACTCATTGTTTTGCAATATTCCAATGGAGAGCAGATACCCAAGTCAGCAGGACTGTTTTTCTGTAATGTCTTTCTTCCTTTGTGTCTTTTGGAAGCAAAGGATCCCAGTAGATGCCACACACACATACATACACTGCTGAAATAAAATACCATGGAGACCACTGAGTGTTTCTGTCAGTTCCTGGTGGTTTTGTAATGTGGTTTTGGCTTTTGTTGATGGGTTGATATCATGTTGTAAAGGATCCTAAAAGGTGATTGATACCAGGTGCATTTCATGGTTTTCAAATTGTATCTAAATGAGGTAACCATTAACCCTATTCCCATTACAAAGCAAAAAGTTTTAATCTTAATGGTTCTAATGTTCTGTTTTCAGCAGAGTTGAGCTACAACTGAATCTCACAAGCATGTTGAGCAATGATGTAGGATCCTCCTAGTGAATAAAAGGGGGTCACATAACCAAATATGGATGAAAGATTTTGCATCTGTAGTCATGTTTACACTGTATCAGAGTGTAAATGTAGAATTTGATTAAACTTTGACATAAATACCTACACACATACATACAAACAAACATACATACATACATACACAAGTACAACCATGCATACATACATACACACATACACCCATACATACATACATACATACATACACACATACACCTATACATACATACATACACACGTACAACCATGCATACATATATACACACATACACCCATACTTACATACATACATACATACTTACACACATACAACCATACAAACATACATACATACACACATATACCCATACATACATACATACATACATACTTACACACATACAACCATACAAACATACATACATACACACATATACCCATACATACATACATACATACACACGTACAACCATGCATACATACACACATACATACATACATACATACATACATACATACAACCATACATACATACCGTTCTTTTCAGCAAAGAAACAAAAAACAGAAAGCATACATTTAACAGAAAATCACTCAAACCCACTAAATGTAAGTGTAAATTCAAGAGTTTAATAAAAATGTTCAGCATGGAAAATTAGTGCCATTTTCTGCTTTTCACAATCCAAGCAATCTCAAACACATTCTGTTGAGGTCTGGACTCTGGGGTGGTCAGTCCATTGTTCTGATAACACCAGCAGCTTCTTTGTTTGATCTGCAAACTTTTCTCTTCTTTTTTTTTTTTTCCTTTTCTTAGTGAGGCTTCTTGACAACTGCACGTCCTTTCAGACCCATAGTGTTGAGTGGTCTTCTCACAGTGGAAGGATGGATAGTGTTGGGTAGTTTGCCACGGCATAACTAAGATGAACACCCATTCATAATTTCTAGAATGTGATATACCCCGAAACTAAAAAGAAACGATTACACATCGAATTTCAAAAGTAAAAGAGATTACAAAACTTAATAAGAAAAAGTTTTTTTTTTTCAGCATTTCAGGAACATGGAAAAAGCAAAACATCTGGATAAGAGTAGAGAAAAATAATCTCAATCTCAGAAACAGTTTTTGTTCGCACAAACATGCATAACTTCACATACAAAAGCTTAACTATGACAAAAGCTCAAATAAAATCAGCATGCTAGAACTCTAAGTAGAGAGTAGAGGAGAGAGAGAGAGATAGTGGTGGGGCTGAGAACACCAACATGTTTGAAAGCAGTTATATCTTTACACAAATTATGTGTAAACTAGTCAGTTTACATACACAATTTCTGATTCATCACAACAAATCAACACTATTTTAATGCAGGCTTGTATGGTTTCAGAAACTGAACTGAACACAGTGGCACTGGTGAGATTCAGTCCACAAAGATGTCCCTCCTGCGCAACTTGTTGACATCAGCAAGAGTTGCTCTCAGTCAGGCCTAAAGCCTTGAAGTTTCCCAAATGGTCCCCTTTTACCCAATTATATGATGACGGACATACCGAGTTTCAGCTCCTGTTCCATCGGCCACCGCCATGTCTGGTAAGATAGATAGGAGATGGGCATAAACAAGTTTATCTCATTGATATCTCACTCACTCACTGTATCCTTCTCAAGAAACTTCACAAGCCTCACAGAGACACAAAGGCAATAAAAAGATATACATTTGATTGTGGGAAATAATCTATATACCTTCAGTAAAATCTTTTTTTTTTTTATTTCTGTTTATTTATAGAGCACTTTTCATATTGGGGTCAGCTCAAGGTCCTTTATAGACAGGTGATAATGTTTTACAGTAATAGACAAAACAATGACAGATCAAGTTAAAAAGAAAAACCAAAGAGATGTACAATTTTAATGGAACGCTAAGTTAAAGAGATCTGTTTTTTAATGTTTCTTAAAAGTGAGCACTGAGCTTGACTGTCTAATACAAGGTGGAATTGAGTTCTACAGTTTAGAAGCATAATAACTGAATGAAGCCTCTCCATGTTTTCTGAATTTAATGGAAGGTATTTGTAAAAGGCAGGTATCTGCATAACTGAGATCACAGACATACACTCTCTGATGGAAGTGGTGCTATAAGGTCATTCAAAGCCTTAAAACTAGTAGAAAAAAATGTCAAATCTATCCTGAATAGTACAGGTAACCAGTGCAGTTCTTTCAAAACCGGAGTGATATGAGCTCTTTTTTTAGTTTTTGTTAGGATCTGTGCTGCTGCATTTTGTATGAGTTGTAGAGGATGTATTGTTTTCTTAGGAAGTCCAGTAAGAAGAGAATTACAGTGATCAACTCTGCTGTAACAAATGCATGAACACGTTTCTCTGTGTCACTCTGGGATAGAACAGGCTGAAGTTTAGACACTCTGGAGCAGCTGCACATGAGACTAAGGTCACCATGCCCAATGCCATCAGTCAATTACAGGGGTTTAAAGTACCCAGCATTGGGCTGTGGAGCAGTGGGACTGCATATTCTATAGTGATGGAGCTCCTTCCAATGCTTTTGGGATGAATGATTCAAAGAGTGATTCAAAACCAATCATCCAACATCAGTACCTGACCAAACTAAAGCTCTTGTGTATAAATGCAGTCAAATCCTCACAGTAATGTTTTCCCAGAAGAGTAGAGGCTGTTACTGCAGCAAATGGTGGACAAGCTCGCCCCTTGATTTAAGACCAGGACATATTTGTTCACATGTTGGATTCTCTTGAAAAAAAAAATACTTTTTTTCTCTGTTGTTGAGCCACTGATGTAAATGATGCATCACTTTTACATGCATTAATTCTTTATATCAACCTTGGCTTTTCTTTCAGTTTACATGCTTTCAGCAATAAAATTGTTGATGCAATATATTTTATTTGTGTGGATTTGCAGTGTAATAACAGTGTTGATACTGTGCTATGCAAAGGTCCTCAGTGGAATGAATAGCATGTGCCTTTGTCCCTTAAAATAAGCCCATTGATTATTGATCACTGATGAATTTCACTTGTAGCTGGGGAAATGAGTATATCTGTTGAATTAAAAGGGAGTCATTGTACAGGAGTGAGACAAGTTTAATAATACTTACTGAATACTTTATCACATTATGGATAACTGGTATTGGTATTGCCAACACTGCGCACATCAACTCTGACAGATTGTGAAGTTTCTCCCAGCTTATTGGTAGCAGTGCATTTGTATGTGCCAGTGTTAAGTCCAGTGGCGTAATCTATGTATAGCAGAGACACTCCATCAATGTCCTCAGTCCTCACATTGGGCGCTGGAATGTATTCCCATCTGTATTGTGGGCGAGGCCAGGCATCAGAAGAGCACTTCAGCACCTCATCGTAACCAAAATCTACTGACTTATTGTGCAGCTCCGAAATGCTCACAGGTGGATCTGTGAAAAGAGCAACATCACCTTAGTTAGCTTTCTCTTCCATTACTGCAGTTCCTATTAATGTACTGAGACAGTCATATACTTACACAACACCTCAACTTCCAGTGTGCGGCTGGCAGTGGAGTTGCTGCTTGCTATTAAGATATATTAGGCACACTTAACTTGTCAATCCACCTTGTAGATGTAAAGTCAGAGACAGTAGCTCATCTGTTGCTGCACAGTTTGTGTTGGTCATCCTCTAGTCCTTCACAGGACGCTGTTGGCTGGATATTTTTGGTTGGTGGACTATTCTCAGTTCAGCAGTGATGCTGAGGTGTTGAAAAACTCCAGCAGCACTGCTGTGGCTGATCCACTCAGACCAGCGCAACACACACTAACACACCACCAAGTCAGTATCACTGCAGTGCTGAGAATGATCCACCACCCAAATAATACCTGCTCTATGGTGGTCCTGTGGGGGTCCTGACCACTAAAGTACAGGGTAAAAGGGGGCTAACAAAGTATACAGAGAAACAGATGGACTACAGTCCGTAACTGTAGAACTACAAAGTGCACCTATATAGTAACTGATAAAATGAACAATGAGCATAAAAACAAGGAGGTGGTTGGTGTGCTGTCCTATGCAAAATTTAAATACCCCTGGCCACATGCTTTGTTGAGCTTAAATATGACTTTTCATGCAAATTCTAGTGAACAATTTCTATGTATTCTGAGTTCAACATATTGCAAAAATAAAACATATAACAAAATATAAAATGTGCCATAACTTTTGCCATAACAGGCCACATTATATATATAGCAAATAAACAATTTTGGGCATGTACAGATGTGTGTTCTCTTTATTTTTGCAAAGAATGTCATTTGACCACGAACTGTTGCAGCGGCTATGCATTGGTTCGTATACCCCATTCGTTTTCATTACTTTAGGTCATCTTTTTGTCCAGTGATAATTATAACCAACATGAGATGATGCATATTACCAGCAATGCACACCTTTCTCCAAAGCATGTGAATCCAGCCACTGCAAATTTCTTAGTCATCCAGCAAAATATTAAGCTAAGGTAGCTAAATGGGCTTGCACATTGACTATAGTCTATAGACAGAGGTTCTGGAATTCTGCCAACTTCCTCAAATAAGGGCAGAGCCAAAAAATTAGGGCAGAGCCAATTTGTTAATATCATGGACAACAAACCATGTATGTTTAATCTGACCGCCAGTTTCTCAAATGAACAGCCAATACACGTTCTGAAAGCCAGCTACAATATAACGAACAACATAACAATAAAATTTCATGAATCTGTTTTAGGCTTTATGGCTTTATCTTTGTGAACATGTTGAGAATATCTGCGTTACCTGTGGTCATGTTAATGAGTGGTAAGCGTGAGCAGTTTAGCAAAAATATAAATTTACAATACATATATGTATATACTCCCTATATTTCTCAGATATTTGAATTAACATAATCAAATAAAATATTTTCCCCATATCGCTGTTATCAGATTAACTAAGACGCGATTGGCTCTCTGTGTATGAAATGTTGTGACTGAGGGAGGGGTGAGAGCCAATAAATATTCGTGCCTCCTTAGTCTGAATCTATATTTGTCATGATTTATGCAGTTTTTCAGTGTTCTACAAGTGCTGATGATACCCATGATATGCAACACAAACAAAAACAATTGATGTCTCCCACAGAGAGACACAAGAGCACAACTATCTCAGCTCAATTAAAAAATTGTGTACAACTGCCACAATAAAAATAGCCTTTGAACACAATAAACTACTCCTATACAGACAAAAATCCAGTTTGCTCTCAGTTTTGTAAATCATAAACATTTCCAAGAATATATCTTCCATCAACGTGAAATAGGGTTAATAAGACAATGGCATCCAGCTATGTTACTATGCAGTTTACGCAGATATTATACACTGGTTGCTGTTGATGTTGTTTAAAGGCTCTCTGTAATTGGTGCACAATGATATCAGAATCATATTAGCATGAGCAGATAATTACTTTAAAAAACGGTTTCGATTTGGACTGATGTTTAGACTTGACCGATATTTCTAACTGATATTTGATGACATAGTTGTTTTACTCCAGAACAGCAGACTATTGGTTTTTGGTTACGACTTCATGTAATTCATTTTAAACATTTGGAAACCTCCACAAATAAATGTTATATTTCTCAGTGATGCTATTGTAGGTAGATTTATTTCCAATTTCTTAATCTTCACGAATGTTGATGTACCAGCACCGGCAGATGTGTACATGAAAAATATAAAATATCTGAATCAGCCCACAGTTCTGATATTAGTGCCTCTTTAGCCTGAATTTATATTTTTTAAAGATTTACACAGTTGTTCAGTGTTTTAGATGTACTGACATATCATCATATTGGCCACTCCTGATGACTAGCATTAATATGTGAAGACAAACTTACAGCACACAGTAATGTTGAGGGGCTCTGATGTCACTGTAAGAGGAAGTTGAGGTCCTTCTGGTCCCAGATCCAGTTCTGCTTCACACCTGTACTGAACTCCATCATCATCTCTGCTGGGGGAGATCTGGAGTATAGATGACTGATTCACTGGAGTCTTGATGGAGTCAGTAAAGGTTATGTTTTTCACTAGAGTGTCTCCTTTGAACCAGCTTACAGTGAGGAACTCAACAGGAGCAACATTCTGAATGTCACACTGGAGCTCATACTGTCCACCCTCAATCATCAGCTCAGTGTGACCCACAGTGCTGATGGACACCCTGTCTGGAGTCTCTGTTAAATGAAAAATGACTATTTTTATGAATTGTGGTGCACTTATACAAAAGCATCTCATATGATAGCATGATCAGACATTTCTCACCGCGTAATATACAGCTATGGCTACACAAAATATAAACTAATTTACAAATATAATATTAAAATGAATTAGCCCTTGGGGTCTGTATGTGGACCAACACTTGAATTCCTCAATGTATAACTTACATATGAGTTTCATAGTAGATACTGAATAATAATTAAGATTAATAAGTGAATAATAAATATAGAGTTCAAGGGGTTAATACTGTAAAAGATTCATGTGTGAGTAAGAATCTGTATTTTATAAAAATCTAAAAGAAAATCAGTTATGCCATAATTAAAAAGGAAACTCACTGTATATAATAATGTTGAACTCAATTTTATGCTGATTATATTGAGTATCAATCATGTAGCAAAATGGCTTTGTGCCCCATTCTGTCAGGTGCTCCACTGTCCAGGTGATCTTCTTATCATCTGTCTTCTTGCTGGTTCCCTGAGGCTTCTCCCAGTCCAGCAAATGGTTTGTGACATTTGTGCTGCAGTTTACAGAGACAGAATCTCCGTGATGCACCACAACCTTTGGTGGGTCAAGCCATAACGTACCTGTTTGAAATCACATCACATTAGAGCAGTTTTTCCCAGAACCTGGAGCAGCCCCTTCCTGCACAGTTTAATGTTCTTCCTGCTCTAGCACACCCATTTCATATGATAGACGTGTTAATGAGCTAATGAGTTGACTGTTGAGCAGGAAAAACACTTAAATGTGAAATGTGTAGGACAGGGGTGCTCCCATAGATAAACACAGAGACCTATTATAAACTGTAATATACAGATCTATGGAGATTTCAGGGCTAGTCCACCCAATGAACTCATATTAGAATAAATTTCTGAATCAATGAATTGTTGATTCAAATCAATGTATGTTATTCCACTTCATTGAAACAGACAGTTCAAAAGAATCGGTTCAGCAACACTAAGTTGACTTTCTCATATCCATTCAGGGTCAATATTTCAGAAACAGTTTGTGTGAAGGTTTGAGCAAAACAGTATCAGCAGCAGCACCTTTGTTTGGTACACTAAACTACAAAAGGGATTTGGCTCCGCTTGTCACTGTTACAAGGTTGTTTTCGGAAACCTAAGGCAAAATTCTGCTTTCTTTTTAGATAGTCCACAAGCTTGTTTACTTGAACAATTTGACTATTAGCATATTACAGTGGGATGCAGCCGCCAAGCTTAAAGAGGTGGCGACAAAGACATAACCCAGAGGAAAGGAAAGCAAGCACTATGCCTGCCCCCTCTCCAGCCGATCCAGCCAGGCAAGAGCGAGGTGTCTGGATGCAGAAGATGGTGAAAGAACCAGCACAGCGAGGCAGTGGAGCCTGGCTGGTGCCTGGTACGGGAGAGTCAGCATGCCATTCGCTTACCACGCTACAATGGTGAGGGGGCCATACTCCACACAGCTACAAGTGGTCGTCTGGTATCACGACTGGATGCCGTCCACTTCCGTGGAGGGGAAAGCACTACGGGTACCTATGGATCTGCTGCTGGAACAACAACCTAGTGAGGTTGACCACAGCCCTCTAGCAACACTTTAGGCATGTGCCAGAGGAGTGGTCGGCCAGGCGGCTGCTCCCGGAGAGACAGAGGCTAGGGGGAGAGCAATAAATAAGAGAGCGATAAGTGTGCTTGCAGTGCAACTGAGCATGATTCAACAGGCATACCCTGCATTTGAGAATGCTGTGCAGAAAAAGTTGGGACTGGAACATTTCCTGAACACGCTGCTGCCAGAGGAGCTGAGACGGCACATACAGTTTGCCGCACCGGCCTGCCTTCAAGCAGCAGCCACCAAGGCAGAGAGGGCAGAGCTCATCCTCGTCATGAAGATGCTACATGGCAGAGGAGCTTGAGGAGGAGATGTTGTGCCAAGTGACCTTTGAGTGAGTGCCAACAGAGCGACTGGTGTACTGGCAGTTCAGGAAGAGGGGACACCGCTCCAGTCAATTCTGTGAACCCGAGCTGGTGGACAGAACAACTCTTAGTGTCAATGCCTCAGAAGCCTGAAGAAGACAGCCCTGGGCGCAGTGCATGGGGAGGCGACACTTCAGTGCGGGCTAGACGCTGAAGTGGTTGCAGCAGAGGTGCTACTGGCCAAGCTGCCACACAGATGTGGACTTGTCCAGTGCAACAGCAAAGAAAGGACCTTTGCATCTGTCGCACGCCCTGCTCTCTGCTCTGCCACAACAATGGAGAAGATGCTCACAGAGCTGGTGTTTGGCTGACTTTACCCTACTCTAAATTAAATGGTATATTTTAATGTTAAAATGAATGAAAAAGGTTTATAAGTTAAACGATGATTAAATGTATTAGCTCATATCCTGCCTCTATTGCCTCTGTGAGGAAAAGAACATTCAAAGCACAAGGCTGAAATAAGTTCTTCCCTTTCCACCTTAAATGTTGTAGCAGTTACATTCTGGTGCCCTAGAAGCTGTCGAATAAGAAGAAACTAACTTTGTATTCAAAGTTGAGGCAAATTAGAAACACCTCACCTGCAACATTTGCATATAAGTGCAAGAGACCGAGAAAAATCCGCAATAAAATCCCTTCGCACATCTGATCCAGAAATGTGGGAGAGCTTGGAGGTGAGAACGACGAGGCTGGTCAGAGCCTGAGAATGACTGTTGGAGGATGTGAGCTGTTCAGAGCAGCAGAGACGTCCCTTCTCAGCACTGAGCTGCTAACTGGAGGGAGGGGGAAAGTGACAGTGAAAGAGGTGTTTGTATCTGGATCCTCCTCCCTCATTACTGAGGGGGTGTTTGGGGTGGTGTTGTGTTACTGGCAGTGCTCAAAGCTACAGTCTAAGCTGTAATCACAAACACACAGATACTGACTTAATTCATTATATTACTCTTCTGTCTTTAACAGAACTATTACATGCTTTTTCATTTATAAACTGGGCCCACAATTTCACCATTTAGTCATCGATAAACCTTAAAGAAGTTCTTTAAGTTTCTTCATAAATTGTTTAAAGATTCCATATCCTACATTTTCTTGTATTTTCTTTTTCCCCCTGAGGCCCACTCATAATATTTGTGTGGATTTTTGCTGTCATGATTCATTTTTACATTTTACATTTTCCAAGCCTAACTTTATCCTGACTGTTGAACTGGATGTTTTTCTTACTGTGCCTATAAGACTGATGCATCTGTTCTGATTGGCTGCCCTGTGCTGCATTTTATTCAAAAAGCAGTCTAGGCTGAAACACTCCTTAGAACTTCAGCCTGAATGGGCAGAGCTAAACCGCTGTAGTCTGAATAGAAAAATACATGTAAAAGTGTTGGTTTTTGTGACATCACAAAAAGTATGAATTCAAACATATCCAAACTGATGGATAAAAGACCCCCATGCCAAAGAACAGAGACTCCAACCTCACCTTAACAGACCAGACATGTAGACATCTACACATAGCTGTATGCAAAATTGTGGACACTCTGGGTCAAATTATATGTTTTGTTGATTTTCTAAGTAAAAACAAGCACACATCCTTAACATAAACTGAAGTATATGATAGGATAGGGTCAGAATTTGGCCCTAGGTTCAGAAGTCCATGGACCCTACCTACCTTTTGTCAACAGTCCAGGCTGGTGGAGGTGGTGTAATGGTGTGGGGAATGTTTTCTTAGCACACTTTGGGCTCATTAATACCAATAAATCATCACTTGAATGCTACAGACTATCCGAGTTTTGTTGCTGACCATGTGCATCCCTTCATGGCCACAATTTACCATCTTCTAATGGCTACTTCCAGCATGATAATGTACCATGTCACAAAGCAAAAGTCAAAGTCAAAGCAAAGAAAAATTGGTTTCATGAACATGACAATGAGTTCAGTGTTCTTCAATGGCCTTCCCAGTCACCAGATCTCAATCCAATAGAACACCTTTGGGATGTGGCAGAATGTGAGATTCACAGCATAGAAGTGCACCTGAAAAATCTGCAGGAATTGCATGATGTAGTCACGTCAACATAGAACATAATATTAAAGGAATGTTTCCAACATCTTGTGGAATACATGCCATGAATAATTGAGGCTGTTTTGAAATAGACATAAAATTGTTAAAAAAAATCAAACAAAATAAGTAACCACTGTCAAAACAGAGGTGTTTCCTCAAAATACCATCATTAAAGTCCTCTCCACATTTCTTCTCTCTCAACATCAATCTCTTCTACATGTCTCCTCTCTAATGTCTGTTAAGGAACATTTTGTCTACCGTTTTTATATATTTTAGAAGCTGAATAGTCATTCATTAAAACTGTACTTGCCTAAACTCAAACAAGAAACTCTATTCTAAATATAAAAATTCACGCTAAAATAAACACTTCTATTTGTCCTAATAAGCATTAAGGTCTGCAGCTGGACGGGCCTGACAATATATCTGGTAAACATTTTTAAATATATTTTTTTATGTACACTTAAAAACTAATTTGGAGTTTTAATTTATGAAGTAAGTAACTTGGCTGCTTTACAGTTTTTAATTTTTATTGTTCTCCAAATAATAAGTTTACAGAATGTAACACACATTATTCTGCTAACTTTCTGTTACATGTTCGGTGAACTTTTAAACTTAACTTTTAAGATTTAAAACAGCTTTTCTTTTACAGTGTACACTTTCTCTCTCTCTTTCTCTGTCATGTGTCCAGTCTATTTCTTGCTCTCTCTCTTTCTCTATCTCTCTCTATCTCTCTCTCTCGCTCTGTCTCTCTCAGTTAGAGGAATGGGTAAATCTGGCCCGGAAACAGTGGATAATGAGAGTGATATGTTAAGGAGTCGGGATGAAACACGTGGAATGTTAATGTTATAAGGTTCAGGGCTGGTTAAAAAATATTCAGGGTTATAGGCCCAGAAGCCCAGGCCAGGCCAAAACCCGTGATCTGTCCCATATGTGTTACATAAATGAGTTTTGGTATGTAATAAGTGTTTTTTTAACTTCAGCCTCAGGAACCCAAAAGTATGTTGCTTTCAAACACTTCTCGCCTCGTTAATCCTTGCCTCATAAAGACAATCTGTTTGTGAAATTCATAAGAAGTCCAAACAAACCACTTCTCCACATGCATTTCCCAAAATCCACTCCAGCTTGTGGTTAAAGGCGACAGCACAGCGCTGCATCTGCTTTGTTTGTGTTCTTGAACAGGCAGCTGGGGACTGCAGAGGGCCCGCTGAGAGAGTCTGAGCTGGAGTGAATGGAATATGTTGAGACAGCTGGACACAGATGAAAAGATCAAGGACAGGTTTAGTCAAACAGTGGCCACAGTCCATGCTAAACATGCGTCATTCCTAATAGAGGAAGGCAGCGATAGGGTCAGTGTGATGGGGCGGTTTAGAGTAAGACACTGTACAGCAGAGGTGTGGGCTTGAGTCAGACTTGGACTTGAGTCAGACTTGAGTCATGAATTCGTAGCCACTCTGAAAACTCAGAAAACAATTTTATTAGGCAACACTTGCAACTTCAAAAACACATTTTCAATGTTTACCAAAAGAAAAAACGATGCAATTTATTATGATTTCAACCCCAGATTCCTTGGCCTTTGCTCATTATCTGTGAAGAACATATAAAATAAGCCATTTTCTGTGTCTTCATCTGTTCACCCCCCACACATTTATATTACACATGTGGTGTTGGGTGAACCCGCGGGGAGTAAAAGTGTGGAGGTGCTGTGTCCTTCACTCTGTTCTCCTCCGGCATGGCCTGCTGTTAGTGTGTGTGTCTGTGTGTGTGTATAAGTGTTAGTGTGTGTGTGTGTCTGTGTGTGTATGTGTTTGTATATGTGTGTGTGAGCGTGGACAACATGGACAGGCTGCTGATTGGCTACAGCTGCTAAAGGAGAACCCTACGCTCACCACTTGTGATATTTTAAACATCTGGTATCCAGTAGACCCACTGAGTCACAAAAGCATGAACACCACACAAGGGTTAATAAACAGCTATAACACATTAATAAAAAAAAAGAACTAAAGTGACCTGTTATATCTGATAAATATGAATTTTAAGGTTTTTATGAACTAATTAACAACCATTAATAAACTAATTTTAAACCATTCATAAACCCTTTATAAGGGTGCACTCTTAAAAAAGCTGGCTCTTCAAGGGTTCTTTGGTACAGAAAATGGTTCTATATAGAACCATGAACTCTCAAAGGACTCTTTGCATGATTAAAGGGTTCTCTGCATGATGGTTCTTCAGATTGAAGAAGAATGTACTGTAGATGATTCTATGTAAAACCTTTTTGAAAAGGGTTCTATATATCACCAAAAGGGTTCTTCTATTGCTACAATTTCAAGATTGTTACAATCATTTTTGGTGCTTTATAGAACCTTTTTCAAAAAGGTTTTATATAGAACCATTTGCAACACATTCCCCATCAATCTGAAGAACATTTTAATAATGCAAAGAACCCTTTTATCATGCAAAGGGTTCTTTGCATGTACATGGTTCTATACAGAACTATTGTTTTACTAAAGAACTCTTGAAGGAAACATCTTTTTAAAAGTGTAGTCTCATTCTAAAGTGGTACCACTTACTGAATGTGAGTGTCTGCGTTCTTATCAACGTCTATCAGTGATTTTCCATCACAGATATTCCATCTCCTTTGAGAGTCTTCCAGAAACTTCTGTTATGTTGTGGCTCATTTACGTTATGTTGTGACTAGCCTTGCAGTGGTATTGTCTGAATCTGTGTGTGTTTGTGAAATGTAGTAGGGTGTAGTCCTTCTGCTCAAAGTGTTTTCTGAGTTTGCAGAGCATTTATGAGTTTCCCACATATTTTAATTGTGCGGTGCACTGGGTCTCGTTGGCCATCATTGCTAATTTTTCATGTGAATGGCCAGAACTGCATCAAAAGTAAATTTGACACACAGACATATCATCAATATCAACTGTTACTGTGCTAATGCTTTGCTTATTTTATTTTAGAGGAAAAGTGAAGCATGAGAAATCAAGTTCCATTAACTAGGAACAAGCAAAGCTTCAGTGAGTGTGTTTACATGCACTTAATAATCTGATAACTGCAGAAAATCAGATTTTGTCAGCAATCTGATCAATGCGTTTAAATGCACTTGAGTAATCAGATTATGGGAAACTCCGAGTCTACATAAGTCAGGCAGTAATCAGATTTCTGCTCAAAGAAAAACTCAAAGAAGAAGATGTGATGTAAACATAATGTAAAACTCAAACTTCATACAGCGGCTTTTTTTTTAAACATCGCGGCACTTTACTAAAAATATGAACAAACTTCATCTAGAAGATGAAGAACAATTAAATCCTTCATTTTGTCAAGTAAGCTCCACCCCATTTGGACTAAGCGGTTAAAGATAATGATGATAATTTTGTCAAGTATGTAGTTAGTTCACTGTAAAACTCTGCACATCTTAATGAAAGAATTAAGATAACACAACTTAAATACTACAGAAAGTTGGAGTAACTTAATCTGAAAACTGAATTGTTGAGACAGTAACTCAGAGTTGAGGTAACTTTATTTAAATGTGTTATTTTTATTTAACCTGATTTTACATGCAAATACAAACAGGCCAATAATGTTTCTTTGGTCGCTCATGCAGCCATCTTGCCGGTTTTTCTTTCTTTCTGATAACACTCCGTTTGGAGGGCCATGTAGCCCTAACACAAATTGGGACGCCCTAACCCTAGACATGAAAAACAGAGGGCTACGGGCTAAGTGGTAGGGGGGTGAAATGGGATTGGGCCTTAGTAAGCTAAAATCCA